TCTTGTTACTCAAGATTAATATGGAGGACAGAATTATCAGTAGTACCTGAGCTTTGTGTTAACAGTACGGAGTTCCAGTTAGATTCTGGCTAAGAAGAGCGCACTATTTTTTAAAGAGAAATGTGTCCACCGCCTATTTCTGTGATTGGGTCGTATCATAGATATTGTCCCTGAGTACGTTGATGGACTTACCTGTTACTGGTTCTTGAAAATTTCTAGTCAAACTGGCTATGGGCTAGTGTTCGACGTAGATGAGATTGTTCCAGTCGATTTGATTACTTTTCTTCACGTGTAGCTCTATCGGTCGTCGGATAAACTGATCCAGATCTTGTTGAAGTTTACTGATGTTTTTTTGAAGCCGCTCAAGATCGTATTCGACGAAATCACCTATTCCTTGTCGCGTGCGAATTTCCTTCCCAACCGATTCCAGTTCTTCTATTATCTCGGTTTTTTTGCGACGCATCAGTTGAATGGCTTGCTGACGAGCGTTATCGGCTACTTGAGACACTTTTTCAATAGTCATCTTCTGCCATTCATCAATTTGAGATAGAAGACAACTTCCAACGCACTGTGTTTGAATTGTTTCTTTCGTTCTCATCGTAAGTTGATTGCAATTCTCCATGATATGCTCAAGTTGCACGGACATCTGTTGACGATGATCATGGAAGTGTCGTGGACACAATAAGGATTTACATCCCGTGCAAATGCATGTTCTTGCACCGCTTCCGCACGTCGAACATCGTTTGGAAGCTGCCATTTCTGTCAAAAATAATGAACGCAACTCTTCGTAAGCTAGCTTCATCAATATGTATAGCTTGATCACGTGATTTTTGACAATTTTCTTCGTTTACTGTTTTTCGGCGAAACTTTAGAAGTTTCTTATTTTTATATGGTTGGATAAAGCATTGATTACTCCATCAATCTGTATAGTTTTCATTCGATTTATGTTACATCTTAGCCGAAAATTTGATTCATTTCAGAAAGCAGCCAAAAGAAATGTTTGCACGCTCATATATCACTGAGACTAAACTCAATTAAATCGTAGTTTTTTGAGAAAAATCCTGCAGATTTGTACAATAATTTTCATAAAAGTAGCTGTTCAGTGGTGAGAAATATCGAAAACATTTTCCCATCGAGACGAATTATTATTTTTCTGTTGTCTAAAATGCATGAAAATCTTATCGTGTTCAATTGATTTTGCTTAAAAAAGATCGAACTTTGGAAAACTACAACAATTTGTCGCGATGCAAAGGTTTTTCACAAGCTTCTGGGATATATTATTTTTCTTACAATCATTTTAGAAAGAAAGATGTCGTCCCACTGATCGAAGAAAATTTTTGAATACTTTGCCGCCGAAGGCGGCCACGCTCTCGGTAGTTACTCAAAGCAACACTCTTTAGAAACAAGGCATGAATTTCTAAGAAAGTCTACATATATGCAACACTGATGAAGTCATGTAGTTGTTCAATTTTCGCGAAGCGAAAACTTTTTTAATACTCATTTGGAATTTTTTTGTTAACAATAGTCAATTTAATCCAGTTTGCTCGTTACGGAATCTTCTCCGTTAAAAAATATGAGTTCACTGGAGAGACAAAATCATCTTTTGAAAATTATTTACCGGGGGGGGGGGGCAAGGCCCGCCGGTGTCCCCTCCCCCAGTGGCTACGCCACTAGTAAATAGGATCATTGCAGCAGATTCTGCTGGAATGAACTTTTCGAATCTCTACCGCTTCTCAACGACTAGTTAGAGTATTAGTCCTGAAAGAAAAGAGCTGTTCGTCTCTCTTTTCTCTATCTGTTCGTGAAAATTCAGAGAAAAACAAGCCATCCTAGCTTAGAACGCCTCTGTACAACACGATGATCGAAAGACTCGTTTTTTTTGACGACCGATGTCTCTTCCAATCGCTCTGCATGCTCTTGCAGACTTGATAAAAAAATAGGTTTTGGTATTCAGATGCAGAAAAAGTCCAGCTACGAAATGAGGTAAATTAGAAAATATCGCACATCTCCGTCACTGAGATATTGAGTAATTACTGAAAGAGATGGTATTTTATTTACCATTGAAATTTCTGTGGACGATGCACTCAAAAAAAAATTTCGGATTTTACAAATTCAAAAGAGTTTATGAAAGTGCAACAGTCTACAAACCCTTTTTGTCGTTCATCAAATTAGTCGATATACCCTTCGAGAGCATACTGCCTATTTGAACAAACGTTTACGGGTTTATCGACTAGTTGGATAAACGAAAAAAAGGGTTTGTAGATTGTTGCACTTCCATAAACTCTTTTGGGGTTTCTAAAATTCGGAATTTTTTTAGTGTAGCCTAGGAACAAGACAGGTTGACTACCGGCAGCCTCCTTGCTGTTAATAATAACAGTAGGATCCTGTGGTTATTCAGAATAACCCCGGCAGGCAGGATTATGACAGACAAGAAGGGATCCTCAACGGAGAGGAGACCGAGTTCAAGCTATCTAATGAGACTTCCTGAGTAGAAGTTGAAACCGGTCATGGCAGCTCTGACTCACTCTAGTGAGCAGAGACGATTTGTATCCAAATCGGCGGACTCACATTTCTCTATTTCATTCAAAACTAATAGTTCAAAGCAGCATTTGTTAACTGTTTTCGTATGAAGAAAATTCTAAAGTCTTCCCTGCAACTAGGGAAAAAAATCAGCCAAATTGATTGAAGCAAAGTGGAGATATTTAATTTTTTATTGTAAAGATATTCATAGTACACCGTGTATAGTAGTGCGATTTTCAATCAAAACTACCTTGATGCATCGAGGAGAACTTTTTCTCACCTATAATGGAATTGCTGTACTCTCCACAGCAATTCCACCTTCAAATAGTGAGATCTTATCTTTGAGTCTACGTTAAGAGCTCATATATGAGATTAATGTCAACTGTTTTCGTTTTCAATCCCATCGGCTTATCATCCATAAAATCAGTTGCATGATGTTTGCATGTGCAGAGTGAATGATAATGACAACAACTAACTGATGATAATCATCAGTTAGTTGTTGAATAAACACTCGAAAAAAGTCACAAGCATTGTCGAGTTGGATGAAATGTCAAACCTGCTTCTTTTCATCGACCTCACTTTACTGTCAAAAATCTCACTGACATGATACAGTTATACGTAGATGATGACATCTACATCGATAACATATTTATGAGAGACCTTTTTACAATATATGTTGATTCGAATCGAATTAGCGCATTGTTGTCATAATCGTGCTCTTACTGCGGTGATTTAATGAGTGCGTGAGTATTTGATAGATTTCGCGGTCGAAAGTAAATGTACAGCTGATTTATATACCAAGCTTCATTTTGTTTCTAATTGTATATACTTCTTCAAAGACAGTCAATCGTCGTGTTTAGAAAGATTATTTATTTATCAAGAAGCATACTTGTGCATCCTCGAATCCCGGAATAATATAATCGTGGTATTCTCGAATACTAGAACTGTACGGTCCTCGGATCAGAAATTCTGTAATTCACGAATTACATACTTGTGGAATCCTCAGATCATTAATTCCTGCAGTTCCTAAATACTATAATTATAGAATTCTGGAATGCTATAATTGTGAGATCCTGGAATACCGGAATTTACGAATACGTCAATTTTGCAATATCGTTATTATGGAATCCTCGAATCCTGTAATTCTGGTATTCTGAAATACTTCAGTTATCGATTGTCAGAATTGTGTGTTAGCTTATTTGCAAATTAAAGATATCACGATATCTAAGCTGATCAAGTCGTGATACATTCAGCGTAGATTAACAACAATAAAAGACGAAAGAGGGCCATAACCTGCAATCTGAGGTGTAGACCCTGTTCACAAACCGATTCTAGGAGATTATTCCAGTCGGAACAAGAAAGATAAATCTGGTGCCAAATTTTTCGCGGAACAAAGTCAGAACTTAATGCTCTGAATTTATGCCAACAAGTAAGAGTAATATCTATGGAATGTTCGCTCAAAAAAATAGCGACCAGTTTCCGTCATTTCTCATTATTTAGTCTTTGAGCAGCTCTCGCACATTGTATGTTTCACTTTTCAGTTAGTGTTCTGTTTTGAAACATAAAAGAACAGTAGCTAATACTTTTCTTCATTCCTTCAACGCGCGCGAACAAATACTGCGACTATTAGTGCAAATTCAGGCCTAGCACAATCAAGTTCATTAACATCACTACCAGCTTCATTAGTGAGTGTATTAACCCCTGTTACTCGAATATTAGCTAGCGAATGCTCATTGCTACTAACCACAACATCAGCCATCAATAATCTAACTCAATTACTAATTCTCCATTAAAGTATATATCTGAATGCAAATTATTTTCTCTCTTTATTGGTTTCGGACAACTTTGAACGTTCCACGGATGAAACATCCTACCACAATGAATAAGTTGAAGAAGCTTTGACAAAACGGTAAAAGTAGGATTCTGATACCTCGACTAAAAACTCTTTACAATTTATCCGCTGCCCAATATTGCGTAAAAATTATATTGTTTATGAACATTCAAACTTCGAGTGAAATGCTTTTTTGAGTTTATTATACATATTCTAATTTGTCAGAGCTCGCTGATCACGAACATCACCTTCCAAGTCTGAAAAAATTTCCAAAACAAAAATCGACTGATGTGTATTTCGAAATTTTTGTTTTATTTTCAGTTGTGCGTGCTAATTTTTTTCAACGTGAAAATCCGAAAAAAATTGAAGTAGTCGGATAAGATAGAAATACATATCAGTCGACTCAGTTTTTGATCCTAATTCTGAATATGATACTTTTATTGTTCAGAAGTTGAGTTTTGATCCAGAAAATTGAGAAATACAGACAGAATTCCGACTTTTTCGCTTCTGATTTAGAAAAAATGAAGTTTCGCCAACGTTTCTCAGCAACGAAACAAAATTTGAACAAAAGCTCTACATATTTTTAAAGCTGGTTACCTGGCCTATCTGATGATATGTGAGTCAAATATCTAACCCTTCACACAAAAAACTAGTAGGGTTTTTGAACGAAGGGTCTTGGTTCTTGTTTTTTTGTCAATTTTGGTTCCAAATGCTCAACTGCTTCTTCTGTAACAGACTGTAATGTCTTGATTATTTGCTCTTGTACGACACTTTCACTTTTTGTTATATCTATTGAACTATTAGTCATCTTAGGTTCGCTATATATTCTTAGTAATGAAGAATTTAATTGATCTATCATATACTGTTGTTGATGAAATTTATCTGATTGCATTATTTCACCCTCATTTATTTGATTGATCAAATCTGTCGTCATTTGTTCATTAACTTCAATTCTTCTCGTAGTTTCAATTTTTATCGTATCTATTGAACTCATAGTCATCTTAAATTCGCTAAGTACTGAAAAATTTAATTGATCTATTGTACTGCTGTCGATGAAATTTGTCTGATTGTATTATTTCACACTGCTTTATTCGATTAATCAAATCTGTCATCGACTGTTCTTTAATTTCAATTTTTTTTCTCATAGTTTCTAAAAGCTCATTCAAAGCTATACCGTTAATATGCACGGTATAAGAGAAAAAGAATGAAATAAAGGTAATAATAAAGATAAATGAAAAAGCAATAGTTGCAAATGTTTTGATACTTTCTAATTATTTTAATCTTTTAACTGAATTATTATCTGAGAATTCAATTTTTTCACATGTAAATAGATATTCTATTGTATCTAATCTATTTGTGCAACTCGCCAAATTTTTTATTAAATTCATCGAAGTTTAATTTATTTTCTAAATGTTGCTGTAAACCTACTTGATGTGTAAGCTTTTTGTTTGTTTTTGCAAATGTTTTTCTCGAAGCGATATCCATTGAATTTGTCTTAATATTTAATGTCTCGTGTAACGAAGGTATAGTCTTCTACAGTTCTTGTTGTTTATACAATATTATGATACTATTTGTTTCAATATTATCTAATGTTAACGGTTTTATTTTCCATTTTTCATTTCATTCAGTCTTATTTTTGTTTTGATTTTGCTGTTTCATTCGATAGTACAACATGATCATTCGATGTTTGATGATACTTAGTCATAGTAGAATCATGCCATTTTAATTTATCTTTCATTGCTTGCATTTCTTGTTCGCATGTATGAACTGTATTTCGAATTGTTTGAAAAATAATTTTTTGATCGTTATTACTTTTTTCCACTAATGTTATTAAATCATTTTAGAGGAGTGTAATTTGAATTTTGACACATTCTACAAACTGTAACTTCATTTGTGATTGTTTATATTTTACATGGCATATATCACATTGAATTTCAATTTGTTCACAATAATCTTCATGTTGTTTAATATCTTTTTTAGGCAATATTTTATTACATCCACAACATGTTTTTTTGTTTTGTATTCACATTCACTTTCATGTTTTTCTAATAATACGTAAGATATAATTTGTTGACAACCAAAATGTTTGTATTGACAATTTAATTGTAGTTTTGATATTAGGGAATATAAATCAGGTAAACAACGCTTTTCTTCATATTTGCAATTAAATGGACATCGATTTTGACAATGGTCTTATGAAAGCCATTCATTGATGCGTTTTTTACAAAATGTTTTTTCACATGTACAACATGAAACAGGTTTCCATAAAAGAAATCGACATATTGGACAAAAATATTCATGAGATGCTTTACTATTAACAATTCGATCTTGCTCAAGCGTGTAGTCATCATGCGTAACTGCCGACATAATTGTTTATATGAACGAACCCCTGATTGGTAGTTAACGGTTTCTCATTTAAACGAAATAACGGAAAATTAGGAATGTTTTTCCAAAATATTTACCTTTCGTGTTTTTTTATTTTTGCTTATTCAAATGAAAAACATAGGGAAAAGGAAAGAAAGAAACCACTCAAAAACACTATGATAAATTAAAGAATATGCACTGAATAGTTTAAAAATATTTTTCAAAAATTAAAAGCAATAAAAGATCAGAAGGGATCAACATTAATTCCCATTCTCCAATATTTTCAAGCCTTTTCTATACAGAAATAACTAGAATGACATCCTGGATGTGTTTTATTCTTTGAAATACTCGGTCGGATAAGGTCGAAAATTTGCCATGCAAGAGGGTAAAAGCAGCACTTCCCTTCACCACTTCATTTCACTCCACTGCTGAAACGGCGCCCCTATTGGGGGCTAAAATACTACTTCACCATTTTCACTTCACTTGAAGTGATTTTGTAGTGTTTGCACCGTTTCAGCAGTTTGGACATCAGTAGGTATGTTACAAATCCAAACCCAAGCGACGTAGGTGTATTGGGTACCCAAGTCTCGGACTTGGGTTTGGGTCTGGGTACCGAAAGTCTATGACTTGGGTTTGGGTCAGTTGCCAAAGTACATTAATATTCTTCTTCAGTGAAACTTAGCAGTAGTACCTTACGCTCTTCTGCCATACTATTCATTTATCTTTTTCTCTTCATCGTCACTGTTTTCGCTCTCAAAACTTCACTTTTTTTCTTTAGTTTTCCCTATTCTTTTATATCATTTTTTATAGTGTTCACTGATCATTTGTTAACATATTTGTGGGATGTCACCAGTGCTTATTTTTTTAGTATTTTTCTCTGTTTCGAGGATGAGGGTGATATGAACAAGATAAGTAGAATAAAACATTCAGCTGTTGGATATTTGAACTAGTCCAAAATGAGCTCTTATCGTTAGCATTAAGCATTACGTATGCCCACAGGCCGAAATAAACATCTTACATCCTGTTTTCTCAAAGAGCCACAACAAAAGAAGGTATCTCAGTTAAAAGGAGTCTTTTAGTAACCCAAGTCTGACCCAATATCCAAACCCAAGTCCAGACTTGAGGTTGGGTTTGTAGCATCAGTGAAGCGACGTGATGAAGTGATGCTTTTATCCCCTTGGTAAATTGGCTATAACCTTGAAATCAAAACGTATTTTCACAAGCAGTTTTCATCATTAGAAACAGACCATTTTACTGTAAAAATAGTGGTATTTACTTATCTATTTTATCTCTTATCATATGAAATTTTTTTATAAAGGACTCAAAATCAGTGTCTATAAAGAAATATCATCTAAATTCAACGGGGCATAAGTCAGCCATATTTTGTGGGAAATATCCCCGAATTCTGAACTTTCCAGTTTCTTTCTTTATGGTATTGGATACACTATACACTGCGCAGAACAACTCGATTTCAATGAAATAGTATCACAATGTTTGCTGACACAAAAAAAAATAATTAAAGTACATATTTGTTTTATTCTGAAACGTTTATCTTAGAAAATATAACTATACATAGTGAATACGAATGATTCATATGATCAAAGTCTAGTTTAACTGTTGTTTGCATACACGTGAATAAGTTTTATTTATTTTTCTGATAGTTCACTTTTTTCTTCTTTGAAAATATTTTTGCGAATAGAAGATAAAGAAAACGTGAGCTGTATTCAAGATGTATTGTAATCTTCTTCTCTGTTCTTTGTCATCAAACGTTATGATATAATATTTCGTCGAAATAAATTCATTTCAGGTACTCCACCGCGAAAAATGTGTGGCATAGTAGTGAAAAGTAATAGCATATTTCATCACTCACTAACTACTGGTTTGTCTTAACTGCTGCAATGATCTTTCAGTCGATGTTCACACAAAGATAAAAAAGAAACGAATTTTTGTAGAGATTCACTGTTCGTATAACAAGTTGACTATGACAATGCATAATAATAACAATGCACTCTAAACAGAACCAACCAATCAACTAACTCATACGACAAAACAAGAAACTAATATTAACGATTATCAAAGTTGATCATTAGGAAACCGTTCCCCTTTTATTCCAGGTTGGACTTGAAGAGCTAAGTCAAAAACTCCAATCCATTTTTTGGTACAGATATTCTTGCTTGTTCGTCTCATAAACAACTTAAAACGACACCTATTTTAGAGTGGGCATGTACTAAAAGAGTACATGCTAATAATTTCCAAACATACGAATGAATAATGTATTCATTGCCCTTTGTGGAAACAAAATTGTTGCTCGATACCTTCTAACACATTCAAATTTTATTTGTGCTGATTGTGCTGGAATTGTGTATGATCTGAAAAAAGGAATGGAACTTCAAAATCACATTTGTCAAAATGTTACAAAACCACAAAGTGAAGAACACAAATCATTTATTTTTAATCAAATAAAACAAATAATTTGCAACAAAAACTTAAGCTTCGTCATTTTCTTTTTAATGCATGTATGACTCATTTTATTAGAGGCAAAATCATCAGTCAGTCGCATTTGTGTTTATGTACAGAAGATCGACAAACCAAAACTTGTTGATGATTAATCTGCTTCCTAATTCGACAAGAAACAAAGTATTAATATCATCGGCAGACAAATGAAGTGATAGCAGGTGAGAATGTAAACAAAACCAAATGAAATATAGAATAAGTATCCTTATTATTAATTTTTTTTATTCAGAATAACAGTAAAAACAAACAGTTCTACCACAGCAAGTCAACTTAAAATTTCACTGATAATAATTGAAATACAATATGTAAAAATATGAAATTTTTTTAAACAAATCTGTATTTTTATTACTTTAAATGAAAAACTTGCCTGTTATACTCACGACGGAACCTTCCCAGCTTGCAAATCGCTTTCGGGCTAAAACGAGTGGGTCGAAGTAATCAAGACTGCTGATTTCAAATATAACAATCATTTTGGTCGATAGATCTTACAGACCGAATTTCTGAAAAACCGGTTTTTCGAAACTCCTAAAAAATAACCAAAACCTTTGCTAATGAGGCAGGATTGTAGCCCGCAGATTTTTGATTAAAATGAGACCTCTCCGAACTTTACACGATCTTTCTTTGCAAAGTTATAGAGTTTGCTAGAAAAGCCCTAAATGTTCATTGTCATCCCAAAGCTACAGAAGTAAGAAGAAATTAATTTAGGGCTTTTCTCGTAAATTATACAACTTTGCAAAGAAAGACCATGTAGAGCTCGGAGAGGTGTCATTAATCAGAAATCTACGGGCTACAATCCTGCCTCATTAGCAAAGGTTTTGGTTATTTTTTAGGAGTTTCGAAAAACTGGTTTTTCAGAAATTCGTTCTCTAAGATCTATCGGCCAAAATGATTATTATATTCGGAATCAGCACCCTTGATTACCTCTGACCCACTGGTTTTAGCCCGAAAGCGATATGTAACCTGGGGAGGTTCCCTCGTCATTGTTGGACTAGATACGAAAGAACAATACTAGCGTGCGCCTCTATTTCCTTTATCATCTGTTTCCACTATCTTTTTATCTATAACCTATTCGGTTGTATATGCGGTAAAGATCATCATTTCACCGCCACAAAGGAAGTAGCT